TCGCCCTCCCAACCAGTCCCCCGATTTTCAGTTCCTTCGCAGGACATCTACGACATTTTATCCCCTTAACAGAAATTCCTTCACGACAGCAGGTTCTTATAATTGGGAGCAATGCCGAGCGGTCGCTGGCGCCCATTGTGCATATCCAGAATATTAACTTGCCATGACATCGTTCAACGAGGGCTCAAGTGTACATAGTCTTATCGCCCTCCCAACCAGTCCCCCGATTTTCAGTTCCTTCGCAGGACATCTACGACATTTTATCCCCTTAACAGAAATTCCTGCACGACAGCAGGTTCTTATAATTGGGAGCAATGCCGAGCGGTCTCTGGCGCCCATGGTACATATCCAGAAGAATAACTTGCCATGACATCGTTCAACGAGGGCTAAAGTGTACATAGTCTTATCGCCCTCCCAACCAGTCCCCCGATTTTCAGTTCCTTCGCAGGACATCTGCGACATTTTGTCCCCTTAACAAAATCTCGTGCACGACTGCAGCTTCTTTAAAGCCATGAGATGCTGTTGTAGACGCCCATTTTACATTCTAAGCTGAACATTTCTCATGAAGTCCTTTATCGTAATTCCAACTGTACATTTCCTTCTCTCTTTTCGTCCAATCCTCACAGTCTTATTTTTTTCAGCTATATATCATCTTTTTTTCTCCTTCACTAATTTTTGTCTCTCCTTAATTTTTTTTGCTCCACTCACTCTCTCTTTCTGACTCATGTTTTCAAACCTTTTTAACGCTTCCATTTACACTCAATCTTAATGTCTGCCTTTGTGGGTTTTTCAGCTACTCCAGAAGATAACGTAACTGGAAGTACTTTGAATTTTCCCTTACCTCAGGTTTGAATGCCTTTCAAAAATATATCGTGCCTGTCTCAACCAGGAATATTTGTATTGGCATAATTAGGGTTATGTTTCGTTTTCCTGGAGTTGGAGAAATGCGCGTCAATGTTGCATTTGTGCGCAGACCGTAAAAAGTTGCATCGGGGCGTTCAACGCCACATGGAGTGGGAGGTGTACTCGGATGCTAGTTTGAGGCATGTGGTGGGCATTGACTAGAGCCTTCGTCGTCGTCGTCGATATCGTCGTCATGGACTAGGTCTGACATTCGTTGGCTCATTTGCGCGCCGTTAGCATGGCTATGCGAACAGTGGTAGCCAGTTTTAATGACGCCATATCATTCAAACTGACAACTGCGCACTACTTTGCCACACAACAACTCCTTGTGCAGATTGCGTTGTGTGTTAATGCCGTTGTCCTTAGTCAATTCAACTTCACTTCACCTGTACACCAAACGGTGAGAGATGACTCAAAGCGTGATCCCCGTGTCTTAGTTCTCACTTACGATACGTCAGCTCTTGTTCACGCCCGTATTCATTCTCGTGTTGAGTTACTAGGTTCTAGGGTGAGTGAGATCGTTACATTTGGCGACGTTGAGACAAAGTTTGGAGTCGATTCTGTGTGCGTTTCTATCAGTGCTCTCTCGATTGTTGAAAGGAGCTGTGATAATGACTGAAGCGTCTGTTACGAGAACACACGCACGCACATTGCCTAGGCAAATTCTGGAACTCACTACACTTCCACCGATGTCTAGATGAATTCGGCTAGTGCTGCTAAGTGACTGTCGACATAGTTAGCATTTCAAGTGCCTGATCGCCATGAACTAGTGCCTTCCGAATGCCCCATGCGGCGATTCAACAGCAAACCATCTTATCCTGCCGCAATCACACTGGCGAAGACTACACTGGACACAGAAATCGTGGTCAAGTGATTGATTATTCTGCTGCACCAATAACGCTCCAAGCGTGTGAATCAAGCACAAATAAGTCCTCGTTGTGTGCTGACCACAAGCAAATGGAATATGCAGGGCAATTTGCTAGTATCACCTTTCAGCGGACACCAGTATAACTGCAGACGATGTAAAGCCCTTGGCACAGGAGACAGGAGCAAATGCACGGCACCCCACACCAGAATATCACCTCAACTAAAGACGATTTCACCAAGATAGCAATTACCAAATGTCGTTGTTGAAGTCGTCGTCGTCGTCGTCGTAAACATTGGGCGCCAAGGAGTGTTCGACGACACTTTAGGGCGTGCTTAAACAAATGGCTAACAGTGAATGGATATGCACAGCACAAAGAATGAGCTACGGGCTTGCATTTGCCACTGACCACTTTCCCTTTTGGTCAGCTGATTTGTTTTTAAATTGTCGCTGCTGAATGCGTCTGGGTAGGATTAAAAGAAATAAGTAATTTTTTTTACAGTTTTGATGTCGATTTCACGGACATTTGTCTAAGTGCAAACACAGTAATAGGCGTTAGTGTACTTTTTCTGAGGTCATAAATTGCCCTTCAACTTACCTTCTTATGCAGCTGCTACAGTGGTTTTTTAGCCGACCCTTGCTTCTCGTTGTGCATCACGTGGCGTTGCTGATGTTGTCAAAGCCTAGTCTGAGGGGACGAGTTTGATAGATTGCCTAGCATGGCAGTGCTAACATGTTGAAGCATTTGTGGGGGAAAGGTTACATGGTTTTGCGTTTTGTGAGTCCATTCAGTTTGTGGTGGGTTAAAGTGTCACTTGTGTGTATTGATGGGAGTTGCAGACAGAATTGGCGTCTTCGGAAGGCACTTACACTGTCTGCACTGTCCTGCACTGCTACGTTGTGGTGTTAGTATCTCACCCTCATGATGATGCGCTACATTTTGCTAGTGTAGGAGCCGTCGTCGTCAATATCGTTGTCTTCGTTGAAAACCTTGATCACCACGCACATATTTGACTCAAGGAGATTAATCAACCCCAACTAGACCACCAAATAAAACTCATCATTGCGCGTCGTCTTGGTACGTACACCGCCACTGGGTGTATTTTAATTCACATTCATGCACGCCACATTATTGAATTATTGCGGTAGATTATTTGTTTCTTACTTTAAACCACTGGCCAGTCTCATTCTCTACATGAGGCAGCGTCCAGTTTTTCACTCTCCGCATTTTTCGCCACATGTGCTAGCATCATCGCCATGTTATATCCTCCATCAATCGTTGGATGCTAACGCACGCCACAACATGCAATGTAATCCGCAAATTCACACGTCTGCCAGTTTATGCATGGTAGTGCATGATGACACTGGAAAACACGCGATGGCAAGACTCGAAGTCAAGACGACATCCGCCCCTTACTCCCATGTAATCTCTTGCATTTTTTGAATCCATGAAAACTTGCTCGCAACGCCATTCAAGGCGAAGGCCAATCTGGCGAAAATGCCACGCTCCGACGAATATTTCAACAGAATTTTGCTGTACCCCTACGGCCACTTTCTGGTGGACATCGATACTTTGGCTGATCAGTACTGGCTTTGCACTTGCATCGTAAAATTAAATCCCAGATGTTCTAACAATGAAGGCGCTTTTATAATTACACTGGACTGCTTTTAATTTAAGTTTTTGTAATGTTATTATTCAGGACAGTTTTAAGTAGGACCATGTTAATGGCTGATGTCCCTACAAGATATCATATACACGCATTATGTCAAGACGACAGGTATACTTATTGCAGTATTTGGGGTTGTTGAGAACAGTTGTTAACTTGCTAATTTGGTTTTGCGCATTTAAAATTTTTGTCCTGCATGTAAAACTCATTCAGCTATGACCATATTAAATTTTACTTCCAGCAAACATCGTTATTTTTCAATTATGGAATGTGAATAAATTATTAGTACTTATTTCTAACGTTTTACCACTTTTATCTTCAGCTAAAACGACAGGAGGGTATGCAGTTATGGTTGCTATTTAACTTGCAGCGCTTTATTAGTGTTAATAATCATTTTAGACGATTTAGTAAGTCTTAGTTGGGATCAATAAACTTCAACTCCTGCGTCCTTGAAAATTGAACTGTTTGTGAACGAAGTGAAAAATCATCAACTTAAGTCATGAAGTTGCTGTTTACTGGTTTTGCCTGTAAATTTTTTGCTGGTTGCGCTTTGCTTTTCATAGGGTCTTGTTTTATTCTGCATGTTTACTTTGGTTGAGTCTATTTTGCCCTGCCAGCTCTCATCACAGATGTAACAGTCGTCGAGATACGTCTTTTAGGCCCTCATGCTACTCGGTCACCATTTTTTCTCTTTATTTGTCTCCGTAACGTCGAAAACATGAAGTTTTTGTCTTAGTAGTTAAGAGAAGTAAATTTCTGACTGGAAAGACCACTTGTGTTTCCAGGGCTAGTTCATTTGTTTCCATTTTATTTAGCCCTGCCGTCTTTCTGCAGTTTCTTTTGGAATGAAAATTTCGCCTCTACCTTGTTTGGGTAAAAGTATTAACAATCGTTTTGTCAAGAATACAAATCAAAAGTCTGGGTCATGGAAGCCATCATTCACGATCGTGACAAAGCATGCTACCTGTTTTATCTGCTATTTTTGCATTTACCCTGTTTCTGCCAAATTTCGTGTGACGTTTGCAATTTCTGGTGTCGAGCTAACTTTGTTCTATTTAATGTCCCAGTAAGTGCTTTAGGGGGCATAGAAGGCATTCGCACCTCTCATGACTTGTGTACTGGGCTGGCGGTTGATTACGGTTAAGTTTTTTGTTGGTCCTCAGTTCGCTACCCATCGTTCACGCTTGGTGAATGTTCTTTTCGCATGCATAGGCTTGGCTCTAAAGTTAGGGACTATATTCTGAGCTGATTGGGATCAATTGAATCACCATCGAGTAGTTCAGTTTGAGCTTGGGTCGTAGATATGCTAGTAGTAATGGCACTTGGATTTGGGTTTCGGTGTTTATGTTTGAATTTGAGTGCTTCGGACTTTAAAGAGCCTTAGACATATTTTGGAACGCTTAGAAATAGTTGTTAAAGAAGAGAAACCTTTGTCTTGAATGTAGAGTTTGACGATGGGATAGTCGGGAACGAGGAGGAAGACGATTCGGACGCAAAAGATGGCATACATGAACAAGTTAAAACTTGGCTATTTGACTGTATGTTTAATTTGTACGATCTGTCGTAACTACTGGGTCAGCTTATGCAAATGCGAGAAGCGCATCCATTCTTGACAAAGTTTAGATGTTTCTTGAATGGCAATGGGAAACTGAGCCATTTTCAACTTGAACGCTTTCTTCTCGATGTTAATAGTGTCACTATGACGCACTTCTTACCCCCTCCGTGCTCCACAAGACCTAGTCTTCCACTTCAACCCCCGGACTTAACAGTTTGCCAGTCTACTGCATCGTACTTTGCCTTGACCAAATTCTCACATTCCTCATCTCCATTTAATTTTTTTTAAGTCATGGCCTTGGTATTTCTCCAGCACTTTGTACAAGCAAGGTCATTCACGGGTAGCATATGCTCTTATCGATTGCTTCAGACTCACCTCCTGTCCCCTTTTGATAGTTTTATTTTCGTCCGCTACAATTCTCACGCCTCCTCCTCCTCCTAACCCTACCTAGTCGTCTATATGCCACTGTTCAGTCAAGGTGTTACTTACAAGTATTAATTTTTTGCATTGAAAAGCTGGCCGGTTAAGCTTGCAACACGTTGCTTTATTCAACTCCTATGTTTGTCGCCTCCTGTGGAATGTGCCTGCGCCGTGGCCTTGTTATCGCCTCCGGCACTTTGTGGAATTCCTGGCATATTCACACATGGCAAAATATGATATTACCTGAGGTCGCTAACTGTTTGCATTCAACAGCTAACTAGTCTATTTGGCAGAATGAAGCCGAGACGAGGATTTCGATAATCGTCGTCTCCAGTGGTGCAGTCCTCACACATGCCACGTCTCCATTCCACTGAATACATCCATTCTTTAAGAAACTACGGAAGAGGCTGAGTTATTGTAATCATGAATGCTTCCTCCTGAATGTTTGTAATGGCGTCACTCTGAAGACGTCGGAACCAACAATCTGTGATAATGTGGATTTTGCTTCCCTGACATTTGCCCGATCCCTATTTGTTTGATATCTCACATAAATTTTCCAATTACACTTGAAAGCCTTTTGCATTGTTGTTTGTTTATTCACGTTTGTCGTTGAGTTAATTGTCCGTGGCTAGCATCAGCCTCACAACTGACTGTTTTTAAACGTCGAAGGTGTTGTTAAGTAAAACACAATGCATTGCGGTATCGTGGTGTAAATGTCATTGCACATGGTCGTGAGGCTGTGCTGGGCATAAAGCAGTCGATTGACGCTCTACAGCTAACTGGTTGACGAGTTCCCAATCAGCCGCGTTTCGCTTTGTGGTGTTAGCTGCGTGTGTTCAGAGAATCGTGTTGAGTTTTGGGTGGGACAGTATGGTATAATCGTATAAGAAAACTATGCGAATGCGTCATCTTAAAGCCAGTGGAATTAAGAATCGTATGCAGACCTCGGTGGTAACAGGTTTGGGAATTGTGATTTCTCGCCTGATATTGCCGTGTCGACAGATGCCATCTGACACGCATTTTTTCCTCTACCATGTCACAGAAGACTTAGTCACTCAACTCGACTCTTGCCGAATTCAGACCTCTGCAGAGGGTATCAGCCATTTTCAAAATCGGTTGGTTAGTCATGCCTAAATCGGTTTATTTGCCCCGATATTTGCGGCAAATGTTGCTATCGGTCGATGCCATAGTTGATTACCGAAGCGGCAATGACTGGGGCTTAGAGATTTGGTCGTGGATTTTAGTAAACGAAGGCTGCTGATTCATAGCCTTCGACGGTGTTCAAAGAAGAATTGCAACCTGACTAGGCAGTGACGCGTAGAGTGCCTTCACATTGAAATCCTTCTGGCCTGATTTTGTGCCCTTTGATATGCGTTAAGTGTACCCCCTCGAACAAGTCCTAATGTCCGAGGACGAAGATTTTAACTTTGCAAATCGGAAATTCGACAACGTTCTTTTGGTGATGGGAGCGATAGCAAGACAGCAAAGTGACATTAACTGGCTCGGGCGAGGTGAATGAGACGATTTTGACTATGGTTTTGGATGAAGCTGAGTCGGTTTATGGTGTTGGTCTGGTTATGTAGCGACAATCTGGTTAGAACGGGAAGACAGCATGATGGCTGACTATAGCTACACAGCAAAGGGGCAAGTTGGTGCACAATTTAACAGGTGTGTCTGGGTACCACCACTTTGTATGGGGTTTTAACTTATTTATTCTCCCTAATTGACCCGTCAAAATCGCGATTGAGTCCTGAGTGATTACTTGTGGTGTTTACTGAGTCGGGTGTGTATGTGATTAACAAATTCTGGTTGCATTCCACTCCTGAAATCGGCCTGAATCAAATCTTTTAACGGATATTCTACGTAGAAGGCAAATCCCACTACACGGATTTGGTTGGTTGGCAAAAGCATAATGACCTGTTCGACACATAGATGACCAGTGGTCCTTGTTAGCTTCAAGAAGTGTTGAATTGGTCTCATGTAGAACTGGTGAACTGGCCATCGGTCCATGAACAGACTGAAGATTGAGGAGATCAAGCGCCGGCGTCATGCGGAGAAACGGCAGAAGGCGCTCGCGAATGCCGTGCGCAGTCCCATCGAACGTCCCATAACCTACATCCTGAGTGAGTTTGTCAACCAAATTGTGCATTGTTGTGATCAACACACGAACACGGAGAGATTGACTGAAGTTGCGCCAAATTACTGATTGTCCATTTTGCTCCACGAAGTGTTTGGCTTCAACGCCCTGGCAACCCCCACTTTTTAATGACCCGGAACTTTGTAGATTAGTGAGTTAGTCAGAATGTGTGTGCCCAACCCGCTTTTCGCGTGTTTAGCGAACAAGTGCAGTGTCATGAGGATTAAATCCTTCTCCCATTCACAGCCATGGTAGACCGTTGATGTGGTGTATAGCCGACCCCAGTCATTCTGCCGACAAAAATGTGGTTGTAGCCTAAGGTAATTTCGTCTCCTTTTTCTCCTCCCTCCTTCAACGGGGAACCAGTCCTAGCCTTGACGCTACTAACCAGGATGTCGCTAGTTTTAACCTGCTGACGTCCAATCACTTCAGTCTCTTCTGCTCCTCTTGTCTTCCACGCGTCTTAGCCACTACGTTTGTACACTATTAACCAGTAATCTAACACATATTCAGGTATACGATTTGCATTACATGGCTACCGTCTGGACGCCCAACCAGCGAAGCTACTCCTGGAATAGACCGTCCCAACTCAGATTGAAGTATAATCATAAATCAACCCTCTGTGGAATGGGCTATAAATCGGCTGCCATAGTTTTGCTTGAAAGCGTCTGTTCATTCGAGGGGTTGTATGTATCTAAACTGATTCAACCCTACCCGAAAGTATTTCTCACCCGGACATCTCGTAGACACATTGCTAGCAATAAATTTAGCTGTTTCAGAGGGTGCATTGTTGTATGGTCAGTTAATTCCTCTTTACAGACAAACAAAATCGCCTGATACTGCCTGATCGACAGAGTCATCGAGATGCAGGCAGCAGCCACAAGTCGAAGCAGGATCGCGTCAGTCTAAGCATCCTACCGACTGGCTACAAGGCGTCTCGGATAGTCCAGAGGTACGTCGAGCTGCTCCAACGCAAATCGACTAGCTGGCTCGATAATCAGTTCGATATCAGTGATTAGTATTAGTTTAAACTTGTGAATCTCTGGTCACACCTTCGAAATAATCGCACGATTCTGTCGACTTACTTATAACCAGCAATGACACCGTGGCACTAACCGGAGCCGCAGAACTGGTACGACCCAGGCCACCACCTCACAATCTGCGAGCTCTCAATGCTGCCTCGACGGCGACAGCAGCTGCAGCAGCAGCACCACCGATCGATCGCGAGAAACGGGACCGGGTTCTGTTCCAGGCGGTGGAGATCATATCCGATTGGATGGCTGCTGAGCCCGCCTTCATCGACCCCCAGGTAGCCTACGGCGACAAGAACATGCGTTTCATGGACCACGTGATGAGTCGGTTGCGTGAGTTCAGAGCCAAGATCAGTCCCTCTGTAATGCAGTTGCTAGAAGATGCCACCAACGCCTGTTTAAAGACCCCCGTTAAGGAAACGAGCACTCCTGCGCAGTTGAACAGCGCTATAACGCCCATAGTTGAGGAAGACGGTGCAGCTGCCAGAACTCCAGTCTCCGCTGATAAATCTGGCCGCATTGTGGTGAGTTCTGGTTTGTTTCGGATCGATAACTGCGTCTCTCAATGCCACGCCTACTTGCAAAGAAATGCGTGGGCTGTTGTTTTGTCCTCTTTATAGTCGCTCCACAATCATGGCCACTGCGTCACTTTAGGCGAGTTTTCACGTGTGGCGTTCAGGCGACAAAGCCGCCAAGAAAACTCCGTATTTTCCACTGGCAGTAGCATCATCGTGCCTAGCATCCTACAGCGAATCAGCCCGGTAGTGGCTGAAGCATTGCATCAGCACATATTTAGTCCGAAACATCCACGCCAGTATGAAGTTGACGCCGCGGTGGTTCGACGCAGACCCACACATACCACGATGCGTGGGGTGGACTTGCAGCAGTGTGTGGAGGTGGCGGGTCAGTGGGCGCAGCGTCAAGACCACGAGATCTTGGAGACGGGCGGGCAACTCACCACTTCAGCCTACCTGCGTCACCCAATTTGGGACACGCCTGAGGAGTGCAAGACGTACTGTCCGAAACTACTGTTGTTAGATTAGTCGAATGTTCTGTTTGTTTGGGGACGATTTTCACATTAACAAAGCGTTTTTATTGTTCTCGCGCATATTCTCTACCATTTATTGACATTTGCCTGTAAGCATGGTCTTGTTTTACTGGGGTGGCATATCCACTGGAGGTTCTTCTACACTTTGGTAGGTCGATTAACTTTTTTGCAGGTGACCAGTCTGCCTCAAATTGCCTTTTGTGTAGTAATTTACTGCAATGATATTAGTGCAATCCTTGTCAAAGTCGGCTGTTTACACGACTGAACGGTCATTTGTTGCATGCCTATAACTTGTGTTGATTCACTCAACTAGCAACTGTGTACCCGTGGGTAGAACTGACGCTCAGAAGTCAGCCGTTTACAAACATTTAGGTTTGCTGATCTAAAGGAAAACGGGTTTCTAGTCAAAACTCTAGCCTTATCTGATAGATATGCAAACGCCTCGGCCAGATCCACCGCCATTGGCTAGTTCAAGTGGCCGTTTTTGGCAGCTGCTGGCGTCAGTTTTGGTTAAGATTGAAGGTCTGCTAAATTGAAGTCATGTGAATTGTGCCATCTTTCGGAGGTAGCGTGAAACAAAATATATTACTGCCTGGTTCAATATCCCACTGATCAAGTTGATCAGAAAGACAACTGATTGGTGAGAGCTATCCGTGCATGATTGTTTGTCCAATCAGGTTGAAGATTTTGTTTGTATTCCAGTAACTTAGAGTATTAGTCAAAGGAGGAATGTGTCACACCAGGAAGCCAAACAAAAGCCATCGCCATGACAACACCTGTAAGGGCAATGCGTGTCTCACCGACGCACCGCCCAATTCTGAGCAATAAATATTTCAAATTGAAATGAGTAATGGAGTTTGCTAAACTGGGGCATAGCTTAGGCAACCAGGTAACAATCGGGTGATGTAAAAAGGCGTGTATCTGGTGTCACAGACAATTCACCTCTGCTCAATAATTTAGCTACCTTTAAAAAAGTTATCGCAGAGTTTTGCTCCTTTTTCAGTCTCCATTTCATATTTTGATATCTGCAGCCTCGTTCACTGCTAATGGCAATTCCAATAAACACCCTATTAGTGCTGAGCGTTTGAGCTACTGAATCGATTTCTGCATTGGGTTTGCTGATCACTCGTTCAAAAATATAATCCAATCAAATTTCGACCTTCAAAGAAACCTGGCAGGGGCTCTGCCCAGGTTGAATATTCGTAGTTTGCAATCGATTATGAACCAAAGGAGGCCAATTTTGCACATCTGTTGCTAAATAACAAGTGCCTTAAACAGTAGTGAATGGAGATCACGGCAATAATATCATGTCCTCGTACAAAGATGTTGTTTAAATATTAGTTTTAAATTACCA